TTTTTCGGCTAAAATTAGCGAAATTTCCATTGGTTTTTTTTTTTTTTTTTTTACAAAGATTTATTTTCCCATGGTGAATTTTATTTCGGTACGTTAGATTTATCTGAAAATTGAATGCTTTGAATCGTGGTATGCACATTAATATTTGCTTATTTATTTCTGTATAAACGAAATTACTTTTATTGTCCCTTGTAATATAGCGTATTAATAATGAATGAGTACAGAAATGAAAGCTGTGGAAATAATATAAAATTGCGCAATAGAGGAAATATGAAACAGAAGATAAACGGATTATGAAAATAAGATAATTATTTGATAAATTAAAAGTTTAGATTTATATAAGCAATTAGTAATATAATAAGTATTAAGAATAGGATAACATGCGATAAATTATTTCAAAATTCATCATTAAGCGCATAGTATAAGAATATAATGATTTAATAAGATAATAATTAATATAGTATTTTAATTAAAAAGTTAAATTTAACAAAATGGTATAAAAGAAATATCAAGATTTGTCGATAATTTTTAATACAATATAAAAGATTAAAAAATATTATTATGTAAAATATTATATATACCATCTAGTAGTTTTTTCATACTACTCATACAATTCCTACATATATTATAATTTTTACAATTATTACAATTAGTAAATTTATAGAAATGTGTACAAAAATATACTTTTTTCTCTTCTAATTAGAAGATTTGTTTTTTGTTCCAGAATACATTGCACGTTGTCGAAGCCACCGACGGAAGATGCCGCCGACCGATCATCTTGGGACGTGAGTGAAAATTTCCATATCGACAAAGTGCCGATCAGCCACAGGTTTTGAGGGTCCACAACATTTTTACAATCACGGAGGACAGTAACAACAATATGTCTTACCTCGCTCTGGACTCCAACGCCTGGCAGGTAAGTGTTAAATTCAATTTTCCACTTACATTTTCATCGAAACACAAATTATATTTTTCTGAACAAAAATAATGGAGCAATCGAAAATCTATGTCATACTTGTACCATAATAATTTTGATATTGTATTAAAGCTAGGATAAAGCTAGGATAAATGTAGATTAGGTAGCTTAGGTAGATTAATTTTTTAACAATTTAATCATGTAAAATAACTTGAAAAAGTCTTCTTATATATTCTATAAAAAGATCATTTTTAATAAAATAAAATCTTACAAAGATTAAAAAGTTAGTTTTATAAATAAATATTTTTTTTTTAATAAAAATAATCTTTTTATAGTATATATATAAAAGATTTTAGCGAACAGATGTTATATTTTTTTTTCGTTAGTTTTCGAAAGTTAACGGAATATTTTTCATCGGAAATTATTCCAATTTTTATTCATTAATTAGCAATCGTTCCACTGTTAAATGTTCTACTGGCATAGTCCCTACAATTATCTTTCCACAATAGGGAATAACTCGAATGATTCGAGTTGTTCAATTAATTCGGCTCTATCGACATGTGTTAACCCGTGCAAAAGTCAAGGGAAATGCTCGGCGAACTGTTGCGCACAAAAGTTGGTTCGAATGATATGTAAATGCAATTACATCGTGTAAATACTGTAGTTGTACGGCGAACAGAGGTAACACGATGAAGCTGTGCCGTTTAATTCGCGGAAAGTGCAATAATTTAGATGGTAAATATTTGTTGACGAATAGATTGCTTTTATGGGCGTCGAGTTGTGCACTCGATGAATTCACGTTGTTCATTTTGCCACGCCGGTTAGGAATCATTGCCCTGTTGAAAATAGTAGTATAAAATGTCTAGAACGTGGACGCGTATTCGCAAGTAATATTCAGTTATTGTACGGCGGAATTGAGATCGAATGTTAAATAGCTCAGATAAGGGAGTTAAATGAAGCCTATGTAATACGCTATTGTTACGCGATAGAATTTGATGGAACTTGTAATACACGTAATTTCCTCAAACAATGTGGTTACAAACGGTAGATAAGTTATTCAATGTAGTTCAATAGTAAGACAATTTAGCCTAGATTTATCCGTGAAGTTTTATATATTACCCTTATTTGTACAAAAATCCATCCTTTGAAAAAAATAAAACGAAAATTTAACTCTAAACATTTTCATATATTTTTGAAAAATATATTATTTCGACAATTTGCTCGAAAATATAACAATTCGATTACTTCACGATTCTTTCTTAATTTTAAAAAAAAAATCCAATTAACAAATCGATCAAGTAACTCAAAGAGAACACGTTAAACCGGGTCTTGGTTTTAAGTTCAATCAAATTTAACATTCGATTTCTTCGAAACGCAGACGGAACTCGACACTCGAGAAAAACGGAAATAGGATTTTTAAGGTAATCGGTCGCGTGCCCCAATTTCGGTCTATTATCACGAACGAGAACTCGCGTCGATAGTCGGTCGAAACGAGGGCCTGTTACCTCGGGCATTCCTAATAAACGTGGCTCAGATCATCGGGGACAGATCAATCTTCTTCCGTGATCGCGCGACGATCATCGAGGTTCCTCCCCATTCATAAAGCAGCCAACCAGGCATCAGATACGGATCGAGCAGCGGCTCCCTTTTCGCCGGTTAATTCTCCACCGTAGTTGCAGTCATTATCGAGGCAAATTAGCGACGCCTGATTCGCGTACCGACATTCTGTGTGCGATGAGGGGAACCAGTTTGCTCGATTACGCCTGCGTTAAGGTTGAAAAACGTTTTCAGACGTTCATTTATAAAACAGTACGCCTGACATTTCGTGACATTATGAGTTTAAGCGTTTTTTTTTTTTTTTAGGAAATTAATTGGATAGGTTCGATTCAATAGTTTCGAAAGGGAGGTTATTCTTTTATTTCTCGTGTTGGGAATTTTTAGCATTTATTTTTTTATTGTAAATTCCATTTCACGGAGAAAATTTTAAATGGCTTGGAACGGAGAGTTCAGAGTGGGTATCCGAATCACGCGGCATGGAATATGTTAAAAAAAAAAAAGCGAAGAGAGATCGCAATTTTAAAAATATCGAGAATCATTAGACGTTTATTTCGAAAGAAAGTTAATAGCGTTTTTTTTTTTTTAATTACGAGACGTGCTATTGATACCTCTTTCTCTGTTACAAACCATTTGAAATTTAATTTATTCATTCGTTCCACAATTATAATAGTGATTTACAACGAGAAACAATTGTTCATCTCCGTTTGAGTACACAACACTGTTGGAGTAATCTTATATAGGGAACCAGTTGGAAGTATTGAATCAGAGGTGGTCTCGAAAAATTAATCGCGCACGCCAGACTTTCGCTCGAAAAGAAACATTCTCGTGGCGATAAAAAGTTAATAGGATCACGGTGGAAACGTAAAAAAGGTCGTTGGTGCGATGAAAAACGTCGGGATATATTCGACACAGTATGGCGCGTATCAAGATTCCCCTTCAGTAGCCACGGAAATCACATAGCGACGGGAGGAAATGTAAGGCCTCGACCATGGCGGATAACGGAAACAAGTTTAGGCAGACTCGGTCCATATCGAATTATATTGTTAGAGAACTTCACTAGCTTTGCCTAGGCTTCACGTAAAAGACGATGGTTTTGATGTTGTAACTTCTCTTCCGGCCCGGAGAACACGTATTTAGAATTCATCTCCCTTGAATTCATCCCCGTGAGAGACGAAAAGCACGAAACATCGTTTCGTACGTGAAAATAAATAAAAATTTGATATTTCGAGTTTTACGTTACATCCTTTACATGTATTTCGATCGAGTCGTTGTCGTTTGTCGTTGTTGCAAATTGCAAATTAAAAACAGCAATTATATCGTTCGATACGTTTCGATACGAAATATGTATTTCATCTATCGAACATATAATTAAATTCGCGATCCGATTTACATTTACACGCACATCTTCGTAGCGACGAATTACGAATAATATATTTTAACATAAAAATTAAATGCGTGCACATTCTTATTCGCGAATTCCTCTTCATTTTCCATTCACTTGCAAATGATGAGATCTCGGTTGGATGGGGAAAAGTTGTCGAAAAAAAAGCGAGATAAAAAAAAAACAAAGAAGAGGGAGAAGGACCAAGAGAGGGGAGGGGTTAAGAACAGTATTTGCACATTTTCCAATAAAGTATGATGCGCGTGGCAAAGGCGAGCATCGCCTCGTGTCTTTGCTTGAAATAACAGGGGTGCGCCGTACGTGGAATTAATACTCGGCTCCCACGTACGGCGTGGATTCGCCTCTTGCTCCTTTATCGACCTTCCATCCTCGTCCTCGGCTGTTTGTCCGTTCCACCGCGACTTCCACCAATCTTCCCCCGATCGGGCGGCCGTTAAACGATAGGAAAACCACGAAGGCAAGCACGGCTCGTCCTCACGAACAACATACGGCCAATATTTCATCTAGGTTGGTCCCACATGCGTGTACGAATGCACACGTGCGTGCACACGCATGTACCCTCCTCCCCTCCTCCCTGGCCGGAATCAGAAGAGTTAAGAGGCTGGAACCGCGGTTTCGTGTCCCCCGCATATTTGTCTTCGCCATCCACTCGACTTTCGCGCTCGTGTTCGCGCGTTGAAACGATCGTCCTCGTGGGGAACTGGGTGCGTGCACTCGATTAAGTGAACAAGGACCGGTCGTGTTTTACGATTTCCCTAGAATCCCTTTGATGCCACGACAACCACCGATATAAATCGATCTCCCCCCATTGTGGAAACTCGTGTAAACCCGCGTCTTCGCTTCAGCTCGATTCGTTGAATTAATTGGAGGATTATTGAGTTTGGATGAATTTTATGATGAATGTCGAATATCGATTTCAAAGAACGTCACGCCTTTCACTTTTCTTCGCGTCTCTCGAAAGAAGAAAAAAAGAAGAGAAGATTATATAGAATAGAAAGAGGAGATGGTGAAGTTTCTGATTTACAATCGATTTTCGGATACGTTGGAAGGAAAGGAAAACTGTTTGCCCTCGATTCGACGATCGTTGGACGCTTTTCGATGCTCGATTACTTCGATTATTTGTCTCTTCATCTTGGGCCTAATGCGTGATTCACTGCTTTGCATGGCGAACAGGACGCAGGAACAGTTGGTGGCTACATCAAAAACCCTGCGCACTTCAAAGTTGCTCGATCCGTGTAACAGCTCACCACCGAAGGAGAGGGTTGAGGGGTAGTAGGGTGGCTCGTTTGCGCGGAGGATAAGAAGGAAAAGGAAGGGCGAACGAAAAATAAATGATAGCCGAATTAGCGTAATCGTGTGATGGTTTCACGGGGGAGATCCTCGCGCATCGAACGGGTATCAACGAGGGACGAGAAATTGAATTTCGATTTCATTCTCCCCGTTTGACGTTTGCCGCCGCGCAGCCCCGGAGATTTGCGGATTGTAAAACTGTCAAAACTTTTTCGAACGATCCTTCTGAAAATTCTTTTAATACGAACCATTCTCTCGATTGAAATAATATCTCGATTGAATATCGTATAATTGTTTTAACTGTAACATTATCGCGTAGATATATTCATTCTAATCATACATACAATTTGCTTTATTCCTCGTAAACATCGTATTCATGAATACGTATTCGCGCTCTAATTATAATTTCCAAGGATGCATAACTCCTTAGATTAATTATTCTTAATTATCAAGATACATTGAAATTTTCTTCGACTTTCATACGTAAATTTCGAAATAATATCGATAAACGTATCAGGAGTCTAACGGAATACGATTCGCTCAATTGTTATTTATTCTGTACGGGAGACAGAGGAACGGGTAGCCGTGGAAAGGGAGACATGTAGCGTAAACTAAGCTCCGCTTTGTTAGCGTTCAAACTTCGATGCGGAGCGAAACTGGAATTCTCTAAAATGTACGCGGCTGATGTTCAGTAATTATAGTTCCACGGGCGAGTCACGTACGCAGCATGCCGCAGCACGCAAAGGGTTGA